TACGAGACAGACGTAGTTTATATATACTGGTCAGATTTCATAATTTGGGTTCATGTAAATACTCACAGAGCCATAAAAAGCTATAAAATGCAGAGGATATTATACTTAGAAAGTTTGTGGAGTACCTGAACTTTTCAGCACTGCAGAAGCAGCAGAACAAGATAATGGGAGGGGCGAGAGAGAGAGAGAGAGAGAGAGAGAGAGAGAGAGAGAGAGAGGTGACACTCTCGTATAGTTTTCTCACCACTTAATTTCATATTTAAAGAGTTAAATTTCTATCAAAACAATAATTAAACAAAGACTTTAGCAATTTCTTCTTAAAAATATTTACGTTTTAAATATGAACCTTATAGCGGCATCTCTTATGTAAATGTGAATTGCTAAAATAAATAATATTTAAAACAAATTCATTTTCAATACAAGTTAACACGTAAATTGAAAGTCTTTCACTTACGTGCCATCTATATAGCAATTTATAGAATGCATTGCAAATACTCTAAGACTCAATAACTCAATAGTGTATGCTCAAGAAGATGACTTTTTAATTTTATTTTTTATCCTTTTAACATTTTTTTATTTGTTTTTTTGATTATTTAAGGCTCTGGGTAAAATAGCTATTTTATATCATTTTTAATAATTTTTTTGTGGAATCTTTCAACATGGACAAACTGTACTAAATTTCGAAAGGTTGGGGACAAAAAGCCCAGACAAAGAAAAATTTAGAAAGGTTTGAAATGAATATTGCAATTTACTCAATAATTAAAGATTGGCAAGGGATGGATGTTTAGGTCCCACGTGAATTATGAAAGTTAAAACCAATTTTAAATTATAAGTAGAAAATTAATTAATTTCTGTTTCTGTTTTATGCAATTTGATACAGTAATTGCATCCGTGTTTTATCTCGCGTAATTTAGCTGCTTGGAACCATATAGAATGAATATATTCTCGAATTCATTTGATACTTGGCTAGGATTTGATTCGATGATATGCCAGAAACGTCACGTGACATGAATGGTATTTTGGATCATATAGAAAACTCTTTTAATCAAATAAAGTAATTTTTAAAAAATTATCTAAACGGGTTAAAAAATAACTTATTAGTGTGCTTTTGGCTTCCAATGCCAAACAGACCATGGAGCCCTCCAATGCATTCTACGTGTATCACTATCAAGATGACAAACAAGTTGAAAGACTTCG